CTATATCGATTTGCTATGCAATGACTGTATAGGGGAAACAGTCCTATTGTTGCGATACGTTAGAACCGTTAGAAGGTAGAAGCCTATTGTTGTGCATGGAGTTCTCCATACACAAAAATAGGCTTTTAAGGCTTCTAAAATATCGCAACAATAAGACTGTTTCCCCTATAGGGTAGAGAACTACTTCGGCCTAATAGCCCATTTTAGGCCTATCGAGCAGAAAACTTCAAATAAATCCATGATTTCAGAGTTAACAAGTCAATAATTATGCGTTTGGTACGATACTTTAGCTAATAAGCTACGGAACGAAGTCAATCAGAACGCGTGATATGAAGGTTTGCACCCATTATTCCCAAAAACAAAAGAAGCGCTCCGACTGAATCAATTTTTATCTTCATCCGATAGGTCAAAGTGAATTCATTGGCGTTTCAATGCGTTAGGTCGAGTTTAGAATCCGTAGGCTGAGTTTGGCGTCAAGAAGCAGTGTTAGACTTTTGACAATATCTCAACGATTGGTTTCTCTTTATCAAATCTTATGGTACATACGGAAAGGTAAATAAATTTGAAAGCCATCAGTGATAATAACATTCCGTTTGGTGCTAAACTGCTCTAGATTGTAAGACTAAGTGCGGGTTGTGCTTAATAACATTTTTGCCTACATACCCAACTTTGAAAATCCATAGCTTTTTAAATACTAGACCGATTTTCGATCTTTATTCTGCAAATGATAGGTATTTAAAAGAGCTGTCTAGAAAACATATGAAGCTGAAAATCAAATAAGTAATAAGTAATGTGTTTTATATATTTTTTAAAGCTCATACTATTTTACTAAACATATAAAAAAATCCAGGCAGGCGCTTTTTTTCGTTTATAGGATATTTTTGCTGAATTGCTGTGACATTCATATTCTCTGAACCACTTCGAAACTTTAAGTGCACAAATATCAGCATCTACGACACGTGCAACATTCAAATTGTTACTCCACGTTTGCTGCACTGTAGCATACATGAAGTAGTAATTTCAGGAGAAATGGGGCACCGATTTCCGAGATTTGTGTAATTGAAAATTCGAAGTGGAAGTGCCTACGTGGCGGCCATTTGTGGACTCTACAAGGAATCACCTTAAGTCTGCTGACTATCACGTGTGTTTTTATGATTTAAATGAAACATCACTCAAATGTTCGCTGCTGTCAATGGTTGCCTTTTTCATTTAAATATGATTTATTTTCTCTCCAGAGTAACTTTTGAAGAAGGCGTATTCAAAACATGGATTTTTTTTTCAAAAAATCATAACATGAAATTATTGATCTGATCAAAATGACATCTAAGAAAAAATGCAGGTAATTAAATGTTCCTTGAACAACAAATTAAAATAAAAGAAAAAAAAACTCAGTAAATTCATGGTAAAAAACATAAAACGTTGATTTTCTCAAAACACCTCCTCTTCGATTTTTTTTTTTGTAAAGAAAGTTGAAGTGATGCTCTAAAATTTGGTGAAGAGTGTAAGCTGGTAGCTTGCTTGAATTAAATTATATATTTTTTTAAATTATTATTGATTTTCAAAATATAACAAAATTAGAGAAATAATAATTTATTTTGATTATACACATAATACTTGATAAATTTGCACATACATACTTTTTTCCGAAGTCCAGCCGTTCTCAAGTTAAGAGGCAACTAACCATCCATCACTCGATTTGCATGTGCTTCTTCTTCTTGTATTCCTAAATCATTACTTTCTTAAAGTTTTGGTAAAATTCGTTGGTAGCGTGCGTCGCCGTGCCAAAACAGTCAATGCATCATAAATATCAACTGGCATGGTGAGCAAAATCTACCATATCTTTTATTCTTTTACTTTTCAATACAACAAATAAATCTAAACAAAGTAATATTAAATTTGTGACAGAAGTGTGTAGTAAATAGCGATATTTTGATTTCTATCAAGTCAAACTTGGCAAAATCCTTAAGGTGCCCCTAGTTCCCCTACAACATTATGCATTTGCTTGTCACATAAGCTAACGCCCCGCGTCCCCTCTTACAGCGTAACATAATAAGTGCAATCATCCCGACGATTCTCGTACCTTCGATTTTAGACAAGCTGATTATGCTGAACTTAGCGCTGCTATCTCCAGGGTCGACTGGCGACCAATAGAATTAGCTGACTGTGTTGACGATGCCGTCAATTACTTCAGGCAAACTATTTGCGATATCATGGCTGAATTTGTTCCTCTTTCACGACCTGCGCCGAAGCCCGCATGGTCTAATGGTCACCTGCGTCGATTGAAACGGTACAGGGCCAAAGCGTTACGAAGATACTGCCGAAATCGTTCATACATCACGAAGCAAGAGTTCAACCGTAGCAGTAATAATTATAGGAAATACAACCGATACTTGTACCGCCGATATGTGCTCCGTACACAGGCATCCCTTCGCAGGAACCCAAAGCGTTTCTGGTCGTTTGTTAACTTAAAAAAGAACGAAGTCGGTTTGCCTTTATCAGTTCATCTCGGTGAACAATCCGCCAGCTCTGAAACAGAAAAGTGTCGTCTCTTCGCTCAACATTTCATGAGTTCTTTTAATGATATGTCGGCATCACCTAACCAAGTTGGAATAGCAACCCGCGATACTCCAAGAGATGCGTTTGATTTTCGTTCATTCCAAATCGATGAGCATACTGTTGAATTGGCTATTCAAAGGTTGAAACTCTCGTATGCTGTTGGTCCGGATGGGATTCCCTCGTCCGTCCTAAAGCTGTGCTCTGAATCGCTACTCACTCCCTTGGCAAAGTTGTTCAACTTGTCTTTGCAGGAGTGCAAATTTCCTGAGGCATGGCAATTTTCGTACATGTTCCCAGTGCACAAAAAAGGTGACAAAAGGAATGTCCAGAACTACAGAGGGATCACATCGTTATGTTGCTGTTCCAAAGTGTTCGAGATTATCATCAACGAGGCACTTTTCAGTTCCTGCAAAAACTACATTTCCACGGCTCAGCATGGATTCTATCCAAAGCGGTCAGTTACGACAAACTTGACTGAATTCGTGTCACTTTGCGTTCGGACCATGGATTCTGGTGGACAAGTCGACGCCGTTTACACTGATCTGAAGGCTGCATTTGATCGAGTTGACCACTGCATATTACTGGGCAAACTTGAAAAACTTGGCGTTTCTGACTCCATGATTTCATGGTTCACGTCTTATCTCACAGACCGCTCGCTCTGCGTTAAGATTGGCGCCTCGCAATCTGAAGTATTCACGAACATCTCCGGTGTTCCACAAGGAAGTAATCTGGGACCGCTTTTGTTTTCGTTGTTTATCAATGAGCTTTCTCGTCTACTGCCACCTGGATGCCGACTATTCTACGCCGACGACGTTAAAATGTACATGATCATCAATAGCATCGCTGATTGTGAGGATTTGCAACAGATTGTGGATCATATGCAAAGCTGGTGCTCCCGTAACTACTTGACGCTTAGCATCAATAAGTGCAATGTGATATCCTTCTACCGTAAGAAGAAACCCATCAGATTTGATTATTCCATCTCCGGCCAGATTTTGGAGAGAGTTAGTCAAGTCAGAGACTTAGGAGTTACTCTTGACTGTGCATTGACGTTCAAGCCCATTACAATGACGTCCTGAACAAAGCCAACAGACAGCTTGGTTTTATATTCAAAATCTCCGAAGACTTTCGTGACCCGCTGTGCCTGCGGGCATTGTATTGTTCATTGGTCCGCTCTATTTTGGAGTTCAGTGCTGTCGTTTGGTGCCCTTATCAGGCCTGCTGGATTGCAAGGTTTGAGAGTGTACAAAGGAAGTTTGTTCGTTACGCGCTACGTCATCTACCCTGGCGTGATGCATCTAACTTGCCTTCATACGGGGACCGCTGCCGCCTGCTTGGGATTGATACCCTGGAAACAAGACGACGTAATGCTCAAGCTGTCTTTGCCGCTAAGATTATTATCGGTGAAATTGACTCCCCACAACTACTTCGGCAGCTCTACTTCTACGCACCTGAGAGAGTAATGAGACAACGTAACTTCGTTCATCTTGCGACTCGTAACCGACAGTATGGGATGAATGAGCCTATCCGCGCCGTGGCTAATGCGTTTAATGATGCTTATGCTTGCTTCGATTTTAATGTACCGTTAACTGTTTTTATCAGAAGAATGTCCTGAATGTATAGATTGACTAAGCATCCTTTTAAACTTAGATTATTCATTAAGACAACCAAAAGTCAGATGAATTAAGATTATAATAAATAAATAAATCCCTCAAATAAGGAAATGTTCCCTATTTGAGGAAGAAGGAATATGGCGAGACTATGAAAAATAGCTCAATCCTCATTAATTCTTTTTCTTTTCTTTATTTACGTCGGTCTCTGTTCCGCAATCTAGTGCTAATCACCGACGGACATCGATTGCCATCCATTGAGAACAATCGAATGTGCAGGAAGGCAGCTTCCACACCTCCGTAGGATATCGCACCCATTCAGCACACATGGGCCGGGACCAACGGCTTTACTTCCCTTTCGAAGGAAGAAGTGACCAGAGATCTGTATGCCTCAGAAAAATCCACCGACTTCGGCTAGGATTGAACCCAGTCCCATTGGGGTGAGAAAGCAGTCACGTTTACCACTATAGTATACACCACCGGCACCGGCTGCCAATAATTCTTTTATTACTGGAAAAATACAAATCATAGTATTTTACAACAATTCAAAATTCCATCGTGACTTTCGTGTCGCTAGCCGTAAAATATGTCCCCTATGCGCTTTTAACACACAGTTAGTTTTCTCCGTATTTTCCGCAAGGTCACATTTGTCGCGAGAGCAAAAAAAAAGCAACGCAAAATTATAAGTAAACACTCACTTTCAACGCAACACGTTTACACCGTCGGATTGACCGATGACCATGTGTAATGATCCGAACGAACATTAGTTTTGACGTCAGAAAACGTGATAGATGATTATAAAAGCAAATCGATCGAACAACGGGTGATGGCGCGCAGCTAATCAGCGTTTGATATTTTTGCTCTTATGGACATCTAGAAGTCACATTGAGCTTGTTGAAGGTACCCGCGCAAACCTCGTCCGTAGATGCACCTCAGGTTGTACCGATTACGTTTTGCACAGATAAGGAAATCTAGGCACTTTCCTTGTGCAAAGGACTTTGATTGAGTGTTGTGTAACAGTTTTATTTGTAAAATTTTCAGATCTGAGGACATTGGTAGGTTTGATTTGCGATGTATTATTAATAGGATTTTATTTCGATAATGCACGTAAAATATAACAGTAACCATACAACTACATCTTTATTCGTCTTTTCAGTTGTAATCTATCACAATTTTTCCCCTCAGGTGTTTTTCTTCCACACGAGCATACGCATCCGATGTACGATCAAATTGAAATACTTTCTCGATTATGGGCAACAGCTTTCCCTTTTCAACCAACTTCTGCAGGTATGCGATGCCTTGCGGAGCCGGAACAAAATAGCCCCATTTTACCAGTCCATTCTGCGCAGTAACCGAAGCCATATTATTGCGAACCATGCTGATGGCATTCTGATACATACCGGTGGCAAATCCATTATCATCTATATTCTTCAGAACAGGTGAATTGAACGTGATGTACTGTTCGAACCTCCACGGTACAGTCGTAGCGTATTCTGTTCCTTTCCCGGCGCAATCCAGGACTATGTCAAATCTATAATATGCAAAAGAATTATTAGAAGTTGATTGTTAAAATAGAATAGTAAATCGCAGTTTTAGCCTTACTTTCCAGCATGTGATAAATTCTGTACATGAGCAGGATCAGTGTAATCGAATATGTAATCGACGCCCAGATTTTGCACCATTTCCATGGCGTCTGTTGAACACGTTGCGTACACTTCAACACCTTCGGCCAGTAACATCTGTACTGCCAATGTTCCTACGCCACCTGCCGACCCAAGAACCAGCACCTTTTTACCTCGTCCACCGCCGACCGGTGAAATCGCACCGATCAAATTGCCTAGCTGCCCCGTTAGGTATAACCCAGACCATGCTGTCAGACCTGCATACAGCACTGCACTGGCATCAACTTTGGTGAGATTTTCCGGTTTCTTTGAAAGCTAAAAATTCAAAAACATCGGCATTTTGAATACGGAGCTGAAACATTAATACTAGTAAGATATTTACGCAATATCGGTCCACTACAACGTAGTCTGCATGAGAGCCTTGCTGCTGAACAGGACAAACGCCCCACACCTCATCTCCAACATCCAAATCACGACTAGATACGCCTAGACCTTTCTGAACAATTTCTCCGCAGAAATCCCGACCCAGCGTTAACGGAAATTCGATATTGATTTCGGATCGCATTCTGTTCAGTACTGCTGCTCCGTAACCCTCTATAAGTAGAAAACCAGATAGCATAAGCTTGTAGTATGTAGATTGATTATGCTGATTATATGTTAATTCTATAGGTAGTATCGATGCGTTTTCACGCAACAATATTTTTTAGGAATCCCGGCAAAACCTCGATCATCGTCATCATGGTCCACATTAATCTTCTTCTAGTACCAACATTCTAGTACCAATCACCGACCGACATCGATTGCCATCCATTGACGGCAATCGAATGTGCAGGAAGGCAGCTTCCACACCTGCGTAGGATATCGCACCCATTCAACACACATGGGCCGGGACAAACGGCTTTACTTCCCTTCCGAAGGAAGACGTGACCAGAGATTTGTATGCCTCAGAAAAATCCCACTGACCTCGGCTGGTACTGACCCCAGAAACATTGGGGTGATAAGCTGTAACGCTTACCACTAAATAACCGGCACCAGTATCCACATTAATTTGGAATCTTCGTGGCGGATTTCACTGGGTATTCAAAATAAATACATGTTCACATGACAGAATGTTGATGGTATTTGAAAGGCATTTTTGTACTAATAAATTACGAACAGTAATTTAATATGTATGTTATAAGTTTAATTTGGTTTTGTTTCAAGTAATTATAGACATTTTTTTATATTATATTGAATATACAATGTATTCATCTATGTAGTAAGATGTTAAAAGTAGATATTGAACAAAATGACGAAATAAACGAAATAAACCGCCGTTTGTTTTGAGGATATCAAGAGGAAGTTTTCATTACTCCGAAAGAAACAAAGGTAAACAAAATCGAGCTATCAGTGTCAATCGATGCTCCTGCTATTACACTATCCAGCTTTCCATGCTCGGTAATGGCGGCCTGTTTGTATGAATAAATGTATCCTTCACTGTGCTTTTTGACACTAACTGGAGGGCGTATGTTGTTCCATTTTCTTCTGTTCCTGGGAGAGGGAAAGGGAAGGGGTTGAAATTCGAACATCCAGATAGTGTCAAAAAGCACAGTGAAGGATACATTTATTCATACAAACAGGCTGCCATTACCGAGCATGGAAAGCTGGATATACTGTCCGAATATAGGATCACCTCCTATTTTTAAATTTATTTACCAGTCAACTTGCTTTTTGACGTAATCACCTTCCGATCAAAATATGTTTCGATGTTACTTAATTCACCCGATTTCTATGGAGATGCCGCTTGTCTTAAGTAACAGAGTAGAGAAACCCATGAAAAGTGTACATTCGTCGTTTCGCTTTCTCATTATTAATATGAATAAATTGAACTGTTTGTTGCTAAGATGATTTCGGTGGTCCTGAAATGATGAACGGGCAGTATGTAAGTAGACGTGATTGATAATTCCCCGAATATCATGTTAAATACACTTTGACTTAAGGGGGGAGTACACTTTGATTTTTCAAAAAAAAATGCATTTTTTTTTTGGCTTAAAATGTTCTTTGGGATGTATACTTTAATTTAGAAAAGACTCCAAGTCCGCCAGAATATTCCTTACCGCTTTACGAAGCGATTTCCGAAAACATGTACCGGCGCGCTGAGAGAGCAATTTTATCTTTAAACGCGTTTATCTCGAAACGGAGTCTTTCAAACTGGCGTGGGAAATAACTCTAACCAGTTATCATCAAATTTGGATATCGCCTAGGTTTTCTTGTTCAGAATTAAATTCTGCTTAGAAATACGTATCCACATTTTCGATTTTGTAAAAAATGCATTTTTAATCCACGATTTTGTAAGCATTTTTAGGGTCAAAAAATGGACTTTTTTTTCCTAAGGCCACAACTTTTGAAAAAATTAATTTAAAAAAAAATCGGAATACGTATTTCTAACCCAAATTTCATTAATAATCAGGATTTTTGTTCGATTTATGTTCCAGAATCACATGGAAAGGAGTATTTTCTCACGCCGTTTTCCGACTTCCGCGCATGGATGCCCGCGCGACCTGGTGCACCGGCCACGGGGAGACGCCAATCGAGTTCAAAAAAATACAAATTGTAGTTCGAAGGATGACTAATAAATGGGTTATAACATATTTGCCCTCCCTGAGTGTTTTATTGCTTAAAAAAATTAACGAAAATGCCTTACTTTTTGGACGTTCAAAGTGTACTACCCCCTTAAGTAACATTATGGGGCCACCAAACGACGCACGGAGGGGTATTTGTTCTACACTAGCAGGCCAAAAGTCGATTTCTCAAAATAAGCCAAAACAGATTCTGAATGCATGCATTGTATACTTCAGAGATAGGGTAACATTGCCCTGTACTCATTATTTCTTTTTCTAAACTGACCGCGTTGTGGCATCAGTTCAAACTTGCCTGTTGTTGAATCGTGTTGGTTTGTTAGAAAAAATCGTTCCGCAGTGCCATTGTTTTCGTGTCTCTACTTGTTGTTGGGATAATCACATTAATTTGCAAAAATGGATAGTGATCAAGCAGGTAATGAAATATATATTCCACATGACAACAGCTGATTTCACTTAGTTTTGACTTCGTAGAAGCAGTTTATGAAAATATTGTCTTCAAGTGCTATTTAAACTATAAAATAAATGTATCGTGATAAAAGAGTTGACTTATCCTGTAATATCCTGTAAAGCCGTATATGAGGCATTATTTGTACATATGTATAGAAGATTATAGCAAAAAATCAGCTGCGATTATTTGCGATCTTTCGAGATATTGGAAAATGAAGATGGCCTGTCCATATAGGTGAATTTATCAAAAAAAGTACACAAATACAGTTATAGACATTTTCATTCATTATACATCGGTCAAGGCGGCAACCTTGGCGGTCAAGGCCTTGTTTTGGGAGCGGGAAGGGGGGGGGGGGGGGGTTGCCTTTCAGGTATATTTTTCTTGTTTCATAATTCCATCAGGTGCGTATGGATATGGATTCTGATACGAGCGTGTTCCACAGTTGAGAATAGTTTGTGGATCCAATGCAAACATAGTTTGGCAAAACCCAACTCCATCTTCACCTCGCTACTGTGGCCTAATCCACATTAGGTTTATCAAGGAATCATTTGAGGTAATTAATGAAGATCAGATATATTAAAATGCAATTAATTCGCTACGTTTAACAAAAGTTACATTAAATGGCAAGCACTTCACTATTAGACATACTTTTATCCTCACTATGGTTGATGGAAAAGTGTGTAATGCAGCAGCTGAAACACCAACGATGAAATGTTATGTATGTGGCGCAAGTTCAGAGGAATTCAATAATCTTGGTGTTAAAAAGGAAATTAACACAGATTCTCTTAAATTCAGATTTTTCATGCCAAGATTCGTATTTTCGAATCAATTTTACATCTTTCTTACAATTTGCCGATTAAAAAATGGTTAGCTGGCAATGAAAAGCAAATCGCAAAAGAAAGAAAAGATCACATTTAAGAAAACTTCAGAAAGAAATTGGGACTACTTGTGGATTTTCCAAAACCAGGCTTTGGAAATTCGGATGGCAACACTAGTCTAAGATTATTTGTTGATCCGGAAACCACTGCTCATATAACAGGTGTTGATTTTAATTTGATCTACCAGCTTAAAGTTAAATTGGAAACACCAGCTAGTGGTTTTAAAATTGATACGTTTGAAACATTTACTCAAGAAACGGCGGCGATATACGTTCGACTGTATTAATGGTATCCGATAACTCAAATTCTGCATTAAATTTTAATCCACAGTTATAGAACATGCACTGCTACCAATAGGGCAGTTGTCAGAAGAAGCTATACAACATGGATGTACTGAATAGACTTAGTTCTTAGTGTTTAGTTCTGATCCTGAAATCACAGGTAAACAACGTGAAAGTAAATAAATATGTTTTTAGGATTAATAAAAATCCCGCGAAAAAAGTCAAGGGTTTTGACGACAGCAACGTTGCAAATGTTACTCACAGAGGACTTCATGCAAGAAAGCGAAGATCGGCTGGAAGAAACATATGAAACATATGAAAATTCGAAGTGGCAAGGCAAAATAAACCAAATAGCGGCCATTTGTGGATTCCATCGACTTTCACATTAAATCTCAAATCTAAATATAAATATCTTGTTCTTTTTTAGCTGAACTTATTTTATAATGACTGATTGTAAAACTTAAAAAAAAACTTTAATATTTTATTTTGTTATAGATTTTTACACCTGCAGCCAAAAAAATAACATCATAGGTGGATTTTCATGTAAATTAGCCAACTTTTATGTAATTTTGTTTTGTTATATTCAATTAAGCTAATATTGTTATGCAGAACCAAACTATGGTGAATTTTGTGTGTACGAAAAATAATTTAATATAATCTTGAAATGTTTCGAATATCAAAAACGCTATTATTTTAAATATTTATAACCATATCGCCATTTTTTCAGGAGTTTCAAGAAGTTTGGCTTTTGTTCACGCAAAATCCAGCATATTTGTGGTTCTGTGCCATATTTTCAGCTTAATTGATCATAACAGAACAAAGTTACAACATGCCAAATTCTGCAAGTTTGTAAGCAAAGTTCGGCCTTTCGTGCTTTTTTAATTGACTGCAGGTGTAAGTGTATTTTTATATTTTTTTATTTAAAGTATTATTATTTCCCAACATTTCATCTTTTGACGGTAACTAAATCCGAACAATACTCAACGACTTACAAGTTAAAAAAAACATCATTATAACATGACCCTCCCCCCCCCCCCTCCAAAACATGACTCCACCCTTTATTTACCAAAAAAAAATTATTATCCTTGAATAATAAGATGTTTGTGACAAGTTAGAGTGGTTAAATATTTTTGGCCAGCTAGAATTAATAAATACCCCACTGTGCGACGTATGATAACTTTTGACTCAAAAACCAGTATTTTTTAGCATGAAAGCTAGCGATCTACTTTGTATGATTAAAACCCTGCTTACTATGTTAAACATTGCTATCACTATGAGATTATATGTGTTTAATTGGAAATAGGAATAAAGTTTGCGGTCATCAAAAAATATATATTTTTTACGGATCGGTGCGAATGTTACTTTCGACATAATGAAAATTTGCTCTTGATAATTAAATTTATTAAATTTTATTTATTTCTATGTTTTGATAGCGTGAAATATTTCAAATAAAAACTTTCTAAATATGCGAGCATCCCTAGTTTTTAAACTTGGCACCCACACCAGTGAGGAATGAAGCTACTATTTGTGGATTGTCTTTGAATACCTAATATTAAAAATAATAAAAGAAAAATATTACTTACTAATCATTGCAACATCAATTGGATTTACGGATGAAGCCGTCACCTTGACCAGCAGTTGATTTGGTGATGTTATGATCGGCATCTTCAGATTGTCGCTGTATTCAACTTCATCCAGACTGCCGTACGAATGTATCTGCCAGCCACACATTTTGCTGATGGGACGAACCTTTCTGCTGCAGGATTGAGCTCCGGCTGGAGCCGTGGACATGTAACGTGAACCAGCTAGGTGTTGAACCACGGTGCGGATGCATTGTTTGGTAAGCATCTTGTGTATATACGTGATATTAAACTGATTAAAAACTTCGTATACGGAAGGACCAGCACGAATGAAAGACGTAAGAATAATAATAATAATATCAGGTTTTGCCAAGTGTAAATAGAAAGTTAACTGACGTTTCAGATACCAAGTTGAGTGTTGCTAGTATATATTTTCATATTCGAAAGCAACCAGAGAAACACGGTAACTTTTTTTTTTGTATTTTGCATTTTTAACTGGACTCTTTTAAAATGCGGAATGGCTAATAAAAGTGCCCTTTTACGTTGTATCGTCTTGATGTCTTCTGCGCACTTCGATATGAGCTAACGAATAAGTGCTTTCAAAGACGCCAAAACGGTTCAATTTAAAAGCGCCTTTTTATTAGCGTTTCCACACTTTTCATCGCACTTAAGGTGAAATTTTCAAAAATTAAAAAGCAGTTCAAAACCAAAATTACGTTCTTGAAAATGTGTTCATTGTATTGTGCTTGCCTAGCAGAACTCTGTGAACACATTTTCACCCACAATGGTTTGCATGATACACCCGGACACATCTTTAAGCTCTTTCTTATGGTTATTTTATTAGGGATGGTATTCATCGAATATAAATCAGATACAATTATTGGAAGTAAGTAGTGAAAGCACCTCGGAAAGCACCTGGGTACGTGTCTACAGCAGCCATCGAGAACATTGATGACAGCTGCCAGTATGAGTGTGTATGAGTGCGTGGGAGTGAGATACTGACGAAGCATAAATTGCTGATGTGTGTACAATTTATGTTTGTTGACTAGTCTATTGTAACTTGTACATAAAGACGCACGTAGAACGTAATCCACGGTTGTTATTTTTTCTTCGTTATCACACGACTCCCGGGACGGGTGTTTATTGTTCGGTAGTTCGGTTTGGATAAATTACATCCATTGATGTGTACATCGTCCAATATACCTGGTGCAATTTCTGTGTACATACACACAAAGAATTATCGTTGATACAATTAAAAAAAAAACATTGGTAGAATTAAAAGTTTGCGTTGGTTCTTTTTGGTAGAAAGTCTTTTGCATTCAAAACAAAAGTCAGCCAACTGTCAATTCAAAAGTTAGCCGCACCTTATTTTTAAAAGTAGAAACTTTCAAACCGAATTGTACTACTGTCAAAATAAAAACATGGCAGTTTTTAATTTGAAAGCAGATTGTTTCTAATCCACTACATACTTTTGGCGGGAAAGTGTGATATAGTTAAAAAGATATGGTCTATTTTGAATCTACATCAAAAATGTTTTTAGCATGAAAACGTTTACTTTTAGATGAAATACTTAAATCTTTTAAATAGAAAGCACAGACAAACAGACATAACACTCGCAAGTTGTTCATCGAACAAGCATTTAACGGTAACTTTAAAAGTATCGTAGTTGGTAGTACCGCCACCTGTGGCGCGCGTAGTCAGTTCCCTTGCGTTTGACGTTTACACACTACCGCCATCTGTTCAGCGTACTACCCACCACAGTGTACTCAACAGATGGCGGTAATGCTTTAGCGACGATGTTTTACAGTGAGAAATATTCAATGTCTTATGTCTGTTTGTCTGTGTAGAAAGGTTATGTATTCAAAATAAATGTTTATAATATCAAGCGAAAAGTATAGCAGTACGAAAATGAAAAGTTTTCTCAAATATCACTTTTAAAATGAATGTTTACCTAGGGGCATCCCACTCTAAACTTTGTATTTCTCGCGTTCTACACAGAAAGTCCTTACTGATATCTAAGATACCTAGAAATATTTAAAAATACTTAAGAAATATTTAGCGTTAGTTTATTACCATCTAGGTTACCACGGGTTGCTATACAAATTTAATTTGTTTGTTTATCTAATATCGTCTAGCATTTTTCAGCAAATATTTTTAATGTACCCATTCTTTGCAAGAAATTCAATCATTATAATGCCTTACATGAAGTGACGGAATGTTATCCCGATTATGGCTTCTATTTAGAGAACAAATTGAATGATGCCACGCTGCAAGCACTCAAACATTTCACGTTATGGTCTAACTCTGTCTAGCTGACAGTCGTGGGAATCTTCCATCCGTTCCTCGTTGATTTTAATTCCATTATTTAGGTGAAAATTAGGCTATTGACAGTGTGACATTAACTGAAGTAATTTAGGCTGATCGGAGCTGAATTAGAAGTTGTGGAGGCTTTCCACACCATTCGCACCTTACTTTAGCATCCCGAGAATCATATCTCATAGCTTCCCGCCGAATATGTTTATCTAAAAGTTGAGAATAATTTCCAGTATTTGGAACCTTCGACGCTCTTATTCTAAACCATCGATTTTCAACATGGAGTTCGCGAACCCACAATGAACGGAAAGCACATAAAAGGAATTAGGCGATGTAGACCGAGGTGGGACAAACAAGCTAATGAAGTGTTCTTTTTATTGTGAGAATTGCATAAATTATTATTTCTCAATATTAAAATGTGTTTCCCCCCTTGACAAACTTGTCAGACTTCTTATTCATCGAGTCATCTGGTTGCCTCTATAGAACATAATAGTAATGAAGCGAATGTTTTGCAATCCTCAATCATCATCAGAAACCTAAAAGCACGAAATCAATGTAGAGTTTTTAAAAAACCATTGAATCCTAGTAGGATAGTAGGATCTTAACTTTCTCGCTAGTACGGCGTAATCCAGCAATGTATGCTCCTCAAATAGTGGCACTATGGGGAGGTCCACCATCCCAACGAATAGTTCCTGCTGCAGCATCTGTCAATGGTACGCTTCACTATCGTGGTTCACTAGCAAATGAGCAGCATAGCTTCGGTTTATTTGATCTGCTTGAGCATTGTCTAGAACTCATACAATTCTCATATGAAGGAACATTTTGGTCGAAGACCTTGGTGATTTGATGGGACAGGTCAGAATAATTCCAGTTTCACGTCCTTTAATGCCTTCGAAATCTTAATGTTTAGTAACGCATGGAACAGTCAGTTAGAATAAATCAGCAATTCGAATCGGATGATTGAAAACAGTCCAATGAATATTCTGCCTGCGGTTAGCTGAATTTTTTTTTACTTTGTTACACTATTTCATAGCTGAAATTAAAATACTTACGCATTAGTTAACATGATTACACGTATCATTCAAATTAAAACAGGGTAAAATTAGTATCAATTCCACTAAATTCGAGACGAAAAGTCATAAATCGTCCTAGTTTAAACAACAAACAACTATACTAGCAACCGGTCACTACGATGAAAATTATCCAGGATTGAAAATACTTAAAAATATTTAAGAATACTTATGACAGATTTAAAAATATTCAATTGATATTAGAACTAAAGTTTAGAGTGGGATGCCCCTAGATGTTTACTATAATTAAAATAATTTTTAAATCTTTCATTTAAAAAATTGGATATTATTGATATCACTATTCTTGTTTTCAAAATTAATGTTTATGGATCTTAAAAAGTTGAGCTGAGCCTAGGACGTGTGACTCTATACACACAAAATTAATCGTTAATAGAATTGAAAAAAAAAAACATTGGTAGAATTAAAAGCTTGCATTGGTTCTTAAAGAGCTTTCAATATAAAAATGTGTTACCTTTCAAATCAAATGTTTCCCTCCAATATACCTGGTTGCAGCAGTTACGATGTAATATTCAACAACTTTTTTTTCTGTTTAGACGTAACTACGTCCAGTATGTCCCCAAGGAATTTTGATTTTTTATTGGCTCAGTCCCAAGCTGCCTAACATATCTGAAACATAATATTTCTTCGCATCCTTATTTGTTTTGACGTTATACACGGCCAATTGGGTTCTTTAGAGGTATTGAGGTAATTGCCGAGGTACACTCAGGTCTTTTTTACACGGGGATATCGAGGGGGGCGACACATCTAAATCTCAATTCTAGATGCTCAAAGCGAATAAATCTTCGAAAAATCTTCTTTCATTTCTCGCATCTACTTGCATCGCGCATCATGTTTTTGCAGGAAATCTTCAAAATCGTGATAAATCTTTTTTTCTATCTGCTCAGCGTACGCGCAGCTAGCCACAGCAAAACACAATATTTCCTGCATCGAAGATAGAGTCGTCCCCCTCGTTTAAAAAAAAAACGGATTTTGATGCCATTTGTAATTATAGTATAGACCAGGGGGTAAGTCACTCTGCCACCTTGTGCTAAACACATCTAAAACATTCTTCGACATACTCAAACACCCTTCAATCCCTATGAAAACATTTTTTCAATCTTTTTTGGCAGCACTGCCTAGAGCCAAGAATGTTTACATATTCGTGTGATGCTTTTTTTTTTGCATTTTTCTTAAGTAGAGATCACCCTCGATCCAGCAATCGGTAGGATCCCACAGAAATCGGATCGGGACATGGACTCGGGAATCCCGCAATTGGGGATAGCTCAACATTATAAAAACAGAGCATTTCAGCCTCTAATAAGCTAGATTATTCGTAACTATATGAAGAAATGAACGGATAATAATCATCCAGTCAATGATTGACCGATGGCTGTAGAAAGATATTTCTAATTTGGTAGTCATTCCATATACGCACTACCAAATAAGAGAAATCTGGCCTACAGCCAGCGATTAATTCTTGCAGGACGAGTCTAGGGGGCACGATAATGAAGGTTACGACAGTTACGAAGAAAAAGCTGGTTATGTATATTTTCTGTGTATGCCAGAACTAGCACTACTTGAAAAAAATCCATTCCCGTATTCGTGAACTACTATGAAATATGCACCGGTTCCCGTTCACTAAGTATATTAAGACATCAAACGACGAAATGCGTGCTTCTTGGGTGGCATAGTTGGAATCCTCCCAATCTCCATGCTACTGGTCATATTCGAATCGATCCTTACTCCATGTCTTCTCACGAGAAGGTCACTACTCGTTCCGACTCATTCCGCGGGTAATGGGTTGTCGGCTGTAATATCCGATGTATTCTTTGACGTCCCGGTCATATCAAAGCAGGATCTAACGTCTCCAGGTAGTTGGTAGTCATGAAGACAATTCTCGCCTCCGTTCGATTAACAAACCATTGATTCAAGCCCTCGAATGCTGCCTTTTGCACGCGATAATAACGTGACGTCCCTGGCGGCGTCTATGTGTTCTAGTCGTATGATCAACAAAGAAAATCTCAGTGACATTCACTACCCTTCTCGATACGCTCATACCAACAATCAATACGAAACTAACGATTTTAAATTGGCTCACTACTTGGGTAGCCTATTGGTCCCAAGCAAACGATTAACGTACCCCATTCTAGTCAAAATTCTAGTACTACACAATGTTTGTTTTGATTCGCTATGAAAGTTTGACAGATAAAATGAGGGGTTAGTGGATTTTCCTATGTTCGAGGGGTGAATCGATTAGCTTGGGACCTAGCTTGGGACCGAAGATAGTACCAGAGGTGAGTCAAAAATTCGAGCACGTTTCTTCGGGAGCTACTACCATAGAGGTAACTCTAAGACCACTGGGTCCCGAAGAAAATCATTATTATTTTTGGCTCACTCAGTACCAGAACAACGGTCCCAAGCAGTCCCAAGCTATTTCACTCACCCCTGCATGTTCTGCATGAATCCACACACCCCTGATGTTATCTGTCAAACTTTCATAGCGAATCAAAACAAACATAGTGTAGTAATAGAATTTCAACTAGAATAGGGTACGTTAATCGTTTGCTTGGGACCAATAGGCTACTAAAGTGGTGAGCCAATTTAAAATCGTTAGTTTCGTATTGATTGTTGCTACTACTGTGTTACCTGACTTATAACGAATATACGTTGTATACGAGTACCCCGAATACAACGTATAGTTCGTCTAATTTTACATTGCAAATGTTATGCAAAATTAGACGAGTCATACGTTGTATTCGGGGAACTTGTATATAACGTATACTCGTTGTAAGTCAGGTAACACAGTAGTCTTAGAGTTACCTCTATGCTCATACCTTCTTGCAATATTTTGAAGTATACGTTTTTGTCCCGTCCAAACACAGACAGCTGTTCCGTTTACCACGGTATTCCCGCGTGCAAATCCAGTGTGTGTTGTTCTCTGGCTCGGTCCACCATGATCCACGTTCATCCGTATCGCAGCATATTCGGCTGGAGTAGTCTGAAAATTCATTGTTTATTGTCATCCTTACTCCAATCAACAGCAAACACATCGCATTGGAATCAGCTGTTATAGATGTAGTGGTTGCCACAAAACATTATTTTTCACTCAACGTGTTGACAACTATGTTGACACGCTGAAACACCTTCCGACACCCAAAAACACCACAGAAACACAAAAAGCACGGACACAAGGTGACAGAGTGACTTACCCCCTGGTATGACTTTATGAGTGTACACTTTCATCTCCTCATCTATCGTATAAAATGAACACTTTAAGTCTGATATTTGTCATTAAGCATCTCCAACTATGTAAACCGTTAACTTCACGCATGCAGTAATAGAAACATAATTGATTAAAGTAAAAAAAATATGATTTATTGAAAAGTTAATTGACAGCGGACCAGCCTAATGTTGTAGCATAAAACACCTAGTTTGCTTTTGACACTTTTAGGTTTTATGTTGCGTTTCGGCCCCTGATGATGCATGCCAGATTGTGCGGCTGTCAAACGGAATAATATTGTGAGTGAGTGCGAAAGAGATAGCATTGGTTTTGCCTAGTTTCGCATCAAGTGGTAGTAGTAGTAGTAATAGTAGACATCAAAAGAGAGCATAAGCAGCAGACAGGAAAAAATTAAAAGATGGAAGAGAAGTTTGCTCGGTTTAGAAGAAGAATGTTTGTGTAATTTTCGCGAAAAAGGCTGCCTTCTCGGACGACATTGTGCAAGTGCATTACGGTGAGGCCATTCCGGGGCCGAAATTATTGGAAAAGGTCAAATCGGTGTTCTTTTTAGTGCGTTGAAAATCCGTCATCCATCTCGGAATCTGAATCGCACCAGCAGCCAGCCAGCCAGCAAGAAGCAGAACCAGAGTGCGCAGAAGAAGAAGGCGAAAAATTGGTGTTTTAGGAGGAAATAAGAAAAAGGCATCCATTGCCTGTAAAGAGTGTGATTATTATTTTGCTTGGGATTTGCAAAGTCTTCTCTTTGATCATTGGTGAAAATAGTGAAAATCCTAGTGCGAAATATGCATAACATGGTGATTACGATTAGCCCCAGCTAGAGAATAAGAGTGCTTCCTCTGTACAAGTGCAAAGTGATGGAAAATTGGAGGAACCCTCCATTGTCCCTTTCTTCTACTGGCCGTAGTCGTCGTCGTCGTCGGATGTGTTTGTGTTCTTTGCTTATTTCCACCGCTGCTGCTACTCTTCATCATCATCATCAGCACTAGCGACGACGACTGTTTTGTTTTAAAGAGCAGCTCCTCATCCGAGAAAAAGGAAGAAAAAGCTGCAAACAGGAGTAGAAGCTGCTATCTGTAATATGTTCGCTGGCGGCCAGCATGTATCGATCACGGATGCGACAGATTACGACTTTGAAAAAGCGGAAAATGCAGCCAAATGGAAAGGTGTTTTCATAACATCACTCAGAAAGGTGAGCTCCTATGGGTGTTCTTCTCCTGCCATCCTACCTACTCAGGCCATATAGTCGATAAGTATTCCGCCCTTATTGTCCCTAGTTAGCCTTTTCTGGATGACTTTTGCATGTTTATTTTGCGTATTGCTGCTGGTCCTACCTATTACTAACTTGACAGTAGCAGCAGCTTAGCACATTGAAGATTTATTTTGGGAGAAATCAAATTATTTGCCATCCTCATCGATGGAAGTCGTTGTTCATTGACTTTCTATCTCACCCCTCGATGATAATAATACAAACCACCAAGTTAATTTAACTTCGACCGACACTCAGAAGCACAAGTTAGATTTTTTTTATGATTCATCTATTGTAGTCAGTGTCGATACGGATGCTTTTGCGTAAATTGTGATAGACACATCTATCAGTCATAATCCTGTGCACTGGCAATGCTTCATATATATGGACTATATTTACACTGTTTTAGGCTTGTAATTGTAATACATCCATGCCTTTCACGCCAAAGTCACGAGTTCAAATCTCATTTCCGGATAAGTCACGAATGACCCAATAGTGTTAAAGTGACTATAATAGCAAAACAAATTATTTTCTCTATCGTGTCAAGTGGAACTTCACGCCTGTTAATCATTTGCAAACTTGTTCTTCAAGAACTTTCATCGTTGTTTATTGAGATCCTATTCGTATACCATTTTTTGCATTCGCATATTGTGTGGCGTATACTCTTTGTCCACAGTCAACGAGAACATGTTCAACCCGAAATTATCCTCGTCTGGACCGGGATCTGGACCGGCGATTGCCAGTTGAAAATAATTTTGCCAAATTTCTATCGACCTGCTGGATTTCTTTGTTGAGGTTCCGCTGCCAAGAGTCCCTGGGTCTGCCTCTGCTGCGATATTTGGTCGGATTCAAATCTAGCTTGCAGATTCCAATTTATTTTATGCTACAGCTTATTCAATCCACTGGGCAGTGAAGGGGTGGTTGGTTCAATCCCCCCTCGAGCCGTAAGATTCATATAAAATTATGTTTTTATGCTAAATGTTCGTCAACTTTTGTACTTTTTTTTACAATCATCCCTCTCTTACTCAATCTCTCCCTAATTCGAAAATCCTGGATACTTCGACCATTCTTCCCATACAAATTTCAAAAATTTACCTTCCCTGACTAGATGGTTCCTTCAGTATCAAGTAGGTAGGAGACTTGACTCAATTTGTCAATTTAAGCGCTTGTTGATTATTTCAGGCATAACATTTTATAACGGCACAAAAAACATTTGTAAACATCATCGGATAGGGGCAACAATCACCTTTCCGAAAGTGGTATTGGTTTGCGTGGGCGTACTTTAGTTCACGTGTAAAGGGCCTTAGAAAGTTTGTTTACAAATGCTTTTGTGCCGTTATCAAATGTTATGCCTGATTTTATAAATAAAAAAAAAATCGAAATTGAAATAATTATTGTTTGTTCAAGATCCCCAATGTTCTTAGTAGTTTCAACATGCAAGAGAAAGTATTTTCTTTCAAATTCTCGGTTCTTCTGGCTTATTCTAGCTACATCCGAAGTTTCTTCCGATTAAATTTGAAATATTCTTCAGACTTGCCCGGAATTTCAACACTCAATTTCAATTTTCGCCTGAAATTCATTCCATCTCTCCGCAAAAAAAAAACAGTTTTATTAAGATGTTTCTTAAAACTTCCACCCAGTGCTGATATAAGCACTGGTTGACTGCAGAACAATTGAAAAGTTCGGATTCCCTTTTGAAACTGTTCGAACATATGATTATAATTCGCTTTGAATTCTTCTGGAATTATCCTTGAAATTGACTTGGAGGATAGACACGATCCCCCTAAAATTTTCTTCAGAATCACATAGGGATTCTCCTCGAACTTTTTTTTCACAACTCCCATGGAACTATTCTAAGAATTACCTAGGAATTCAATTCAGAACTGCCTTTCTTCTCCCCAGAAATCTTAGAACTCCCTTAGAATATTTACCAGAATTTTGTAGTAATTCTTCTCGGTATTCTCTTGTATAAACATTTTAACTCCTTTTAAATTCTCGTAAAAATTCCATAGTTAGGTATTGTTTTACTTGTATGAGCCTTGAATATACTCTTCTCGCGAAACCTTGAAAACTTTCCAGGACCAAACAAATGTATTTTGTTTTCTGGGATCTTGCATACTGGGGCAAAAAACTCATGAATTCCATAAAGCATGACATATGAACCTGAATAATTTAGCTTTCATAAGACGCTTATGAATTCCATAAGCGTGACTTGTGAACGATTATCGCACTATACGAGGTGGTTCTTATATGCAAATCTGACTTACCTTACCAGGCCTTGTCCTCTGCTGTCCGAAGAAGTCGTCTCCACTCTACTCGATCCATGACCACACGTCGTCAGCCTCGTAGTCCGCTGGTCGCCTTCTACTTGGTCGATCCACCTTGCCCGCTGCGCGCCTCTTCTTCTTGTTCCTGTTGGGACGCTTTCTAGAACCATTTTCACTGGGTCGTGGACGATGGATAGTTCTCCCAGCAGCTGGTGGAATTCGTGGTTCATTCGCCTCCTCCACGTTCCGTTATCCATCTGCACTCCACCGTAGATGGTACGCAACACCTTCCGTTCGAGAACCAAGGGCGCGTTGGTCCTCCACGAACATAGCCCAGGTCTCGTGGCCGTAGAGGACCACCGGTCTAATCAGGGTCTTGTAGATAGTCAACTTCGTGTGGTGGCGAATTTTATTCGATCGGAGCGTCTTCCGGAGTCCAAAGTCCAAATTTCTCTGCTGGTATCATTTTCGGCGGTCACCAGTGAGCCAAAATACACGAACTCGTCGACCACCTCGATTTCGTCTTCGATGCGTTTATGGCAAGTCCAATCCGCCTAGCTTCAGCCTTCAGTCTGATGTACGTTTCCGCCATCGTCTCAAAGTTCCGTGCCATGATGTCGATGTCATGCGAAGCTAAGAAGCTGGATGGACTTCCTGAAGATCGTACCACCCGTGTCTATCCCAACTCTTATGATCACATCTTCCAACGCGGTGTTTAACGAAAGTCCATAACTTTGCCGTAACCCCCTTTCACACTGGGCCAGAAATGCAATCTAGCGGAGCAAATTAATAACTCCGAAACGAAGAATTTTCGCGACTTGGTGTCTTGGGCAAAGTTTCTCATCATAATAAGAACCATCTATTGACATAAACAAATAGTTCAAAACTCTTCCGCAAAGATGGCGCCACAATCTAACTTATTTCTCTGATGATTTGGAGACTTAATGTCTACGGCAAAGTTGTTTGCCGTGACAAAATAAACAACTCTTTTGAAGACGTAAAATTTCCACAGCCTACTGATTCCGAGTTATATGGAGTTAAAGAAAAAAATGTCAAAAATATGCTTTTTTCTTTCTGTTTCGTTTTTTTTTTGCTGACAACCATATAATCTTATATTTTTCTCTTACGCAAATGCATTAAATAAATAACTTTTGTAAAGAAAAATACTGGTTTAAGCTTCAAATTTTAAAGATATTGTTGAAAAACCGAAAAAACAACATTTTTTTAACTTTAATATCTCCCAAAGCGCAAAAAATCGCAACCTGACATTTTCAGCAAAAATTAAGCAATACTAGATAAACAAAATATCAAAATTTGAGAGAGGTATATTTTGGTGTTTTTGAGATTTCATCATTTTAGTGGAGCGTGTATTTTTTTCTATAACTTTTATGGCGTTTTTAAGACTTGACGACATAGGCAAAGTTGTTTATCTTAATAAAATAAACAACTCTTCTGAAGAAGTCAAAACTCCACAGCCATCACATCATCTTGAAGGTTGAATTCGCGGCATTTCTGCAGAACTTGCCGAATCACGAAAATTTGATCCATGGTAGTGTGGGCACCCATGAATCCCGCCTGGTATTGCCCCACGAACTCTCTTGCAAATGGTGACAGGGGGCGGCATAGAATTTGGGAGAGTACCTTGTAGGCGGCACTCAGCAGAGTGATCGCGGGGTAGTTGTAGCAATCCAACTTGCCGCGCTTTTTATAGATTGGGTATACGATACCTTCCATCCACTCCTCTGGTAATATCTCCTCCTTACATATCATAGCAATTACTCTGGGCAGCGCTCTAGCCAGTGCTTCACCACCGTATTTTAATAGCTCACTTGGTAGTTGATCTACACCAGTTGCTTTGTTGTTCTTCAACCGACCGATCTCCTCTTCAACTTCTTGAAGATCAGGGGCCGCTAGCCTGTCGTGTTCTGCGCGTGCTCCAAGGTCTGTTGCCGTGCCACCTTCGTTTTCTGCTGCTTCACCGTTGAGGTACTCGTCATAGTACTGTTTCCACCCCTCAATGACCTCACACTCGTTCGTGAGAAGGTTACCGTTCAAGTCCTTGCACATATCGGCATGCGGCACGTAGCCTTTGCGCGAACTATTTAGCTTATCGTAGAACTTCCGTGTGTCGTTTACGCGGTACAGATTTTCCATCGCCTCGCGATCTCGGTCTTCCTGCTGACACTTCTTCCTTTTGGAAAACCGAGTTTTGTCTGTTCCGCGCTTGTCTGTATCGCTTCACATTCAATCTCGTGCGGTGTTACAGCGTTCTCGTCCGTGCTGCATTCTTCTCCTCTACTAACAGTTTGCATTCGCCGTCAAACCAGTCATTTCTTCGGTCCGGGATTGCAGTACCTAGTGCCGCTGCAGCAGTACTACCTATGGCGGAACGGATGTCCCTCCAGCCATCTTCAAGAGAAGCTGCGCCAAGCTGGTCTTCCGTGGGTAGTGCAACTTCCAGCTGCTGCGCGTAGTTCTGGGCAACACCGGCGTCTCGTAGTTGCTCAATGTTGGGTCACGGCGTTCGACTTCGACGGGTGTTATGCACCGTCGAGAGTTTTGAGCGCATGCATACTGCAACTAGGTAGTGGTCCGAATCTATGTTCGCACTGCGGTACGTGCGGATGTTGATAATTTCGGAGAAGAATTTCCCGTCGATTAGAACGTGATCGATTT